TTACTCTGAAATAAGGAGTCATGAAAGACCATTATATGAAAACTACTAGCATTGTTTTTCTCAATACATCATTTCTTCCCAAGGTTCCCACAAAACTGTGGAAGAGTCAAAAGAGAATGCTGGTAAAGGCCACAAGAAGCAGCAGGGGTTACCAATCTGCAGCACTGCTGCTCAGTGCAGAGCAGAGATCAACAGAAATGTGTCAGAAGATCAAGGCTCTGCTTCCTGCACCCTGTCATAAAAAATAGTATATACAAATAGTTAAGACAACAGCTAGAATAAATGAGACAAGAAACAGGCTGCTAGGCAAAATGTTAGCCATCAAATACTCATGTAAAATAATAGCAAAAGAGGGACCTGTGATAAATGTCAAATGAGTTGGTTATAAACTCACGATAGCAGTGAGGCTGTAATTGAAGATAACTTCAAAGTAAAGACAGGCTATAAAAAATGAAATACTTTTTTTTTTTTTAATTAAAGAACTCTCTTGAAATTGAAAAACAAAAAGTAGCAAGATCCTTTTTCCTTCCAGCAGCTAGAGGGGAGTGGAGTTTCAATTTTATAAATTGCTAACGAATCTAGAGCTAAAATAAATTTCTAATCTCTTACTTATGGCCCAGGTCTAACATCCTCCTTATTTCTGCATTTAAAAAATGTCATTCAAAATGTTTAGAAAGTTAAAGTTTCAACTTCCTTGGGGAAATGAAGAAATAACTGTGGTTTCTGAAGAATATTTTAAAATTATTTTCTACTTCATGAGCTGTTTCCAGAGCTAAATTAAAAACAAAAACATTCCAGAGTTAAGATGTACCTAAAATAAAATAACAAAATTATGACTGACATGCTGGTATGTCATCAGTGTTTCAGTCATCCCAAATAACAGAAAGTTCCCTGTAGTATATAATCGGGCCATTAAACCAACCTTAACTCTGCCCCATATTTCCATGGTGCAATAGCCATATGATTATGATTAAAGCTTCTCAGTGTCTGCAGTCCCAACGCAGAATTACTTTTTCATTTCTTTATGTTTTATTTTCAAGTCTCTTATGCTAACCTCTGTTACCTTTGCTACAAAGAGTAGAATTTTGAAATGTTTAAGATTACATGTCATTTGATGCCAAGATTTGCATAGCTGAAAGTTCATCTGCATATTGCTATTTCCCCCAGTAAAGCTATGAAAGATCTCATCTCTTTTGAAAGAGGTTTGTGGTCCCATTGTTCTTTATGGGACTGAGGGCAGATGTCCCCTGTTCTGTGACAGTCAGCACCTCACTTTGATCCAGCACATACAAAGTCAACAACATAATGCTGTTGGTGAGTTAAGCAGCACCTGTAGGTACATTTAATCTGCAGGGTGAATTTGCCCGTGCTGAGCTCCCTAACTGTCCTGCTACCAGTATCGATGACAGCTAATCTAAATTTTGGCTTTTTGATACTGCATTTTTGTTGTTTAATAGATGACTTTTTGTCTACACTGTCAGCAGCCTGGAGTCCTTGGAGGACAATGTCCTATTCTGTGAAGAACACAAAGGGATATTTTCTTCTAGCCCAGGCAACAGGCTTCATGTTCTTGGAACAGAAATATTTGAATTCAATTTTTCCTTTGAATTTCCAAGTATAATGGCAAGGTTACCATGCATTTGTTTTATCTCCTGTTTTAGTTCATCGTGGTGATGATGAAAGCTGAAGGAAGTGATTACAGATAGCCATTCCAGTAGAGCTCTTTGCCATTTTTCTGAAAGACAAGCTCCAGCCAGCCTTTGTTTCCAAGTTTCTGAACTACTCATTCTTGTTTCCTCCCACCCCCCACATTTGAGGCTTTTCATATTATGAATTTTCTTTCTCTTTGTTTCTCTTTCCTGGCAAATGTTCTCTTTGCAGCAAAGTCCTTCCTTTCTGTTGCCAGGCACATTTTTTTTCCTTAGGTTGCTAGGCAATATTGGTTTCTTTTATTTTATTTTCTTCTTATTTTTTTTTCTTTACTACTCATGTGACTTATGCTCACCAGCTCCTTCCAGCATTACCCCCCACACCTTTTATTCATTACCACCTCTGCTCATACATGCACAGCTGAACAAAATTAAATGAGTGAACACCAAAGGGAGCTTAAATGAAGTGTCTTTGTAGTTTGCCTTAAAAAGTCAAATTTTATTGTAAAATTCATATTTTAAGGAATGAGATTGCATATTTCCCCTAAAGAATGTTTTTAATAAAACCCAAATTTAATGTGAACATTTCTCGTGGAGTGAGGAAGGTCTTGGCTGTAATTATCTGTTTTATTGTCATGCCTAATAAACATAGCATAAAAGGCCACTGAGGTTAAGCTGTACTTCATTACGTTTGTTTAAAAAAATCATAGAGTCCCTCTCGGATCTAATTTATTAAACCCACTTCAGCAAACAGTTGCATGAATAAAAAATCAATTCCTTTTCTTTCATCAGAAAAGGAGGGGCTAAACAGTTGGTGTTTTATATCAGAAAAGTCAAGTAATACATCCCAGACATGCTGTCCCAGGTGACAGTATGGAAATTATCTAACAGTTGTGAAATATCTGATTTTTTTTGTCTTCAAAATTTTCTCCTAACTTTTTCTTCCACTGATGCTTCAGCAGAGACATGATCGTGCTCTTCATCTAAACTGCTTCTGACATATAACTTTAGCATTGACTTGGGTTCAAAATGACACACATCATCATAGAACAAATGGCTCATCACTGCCGCTGATAAACTCAAGATAAGAGTTTCACCTCAATCTCTCCTTCAAAAAAACTCAGTCTTGTTACAGGTGGCCTACAAGAAAGATACTTTACTGGAGTATGTAGTGATAGGACAAGGGGAAAAGGTTTTAAAGTAAAGGGCAGTAGATTTTGATTAGATATAAAGAATAAATTCTTTATTATGAGGGTGGTGAGGCACTGGAACAGGTTGTCCAGAGAAGCTGTGGATATCCGATACCTGGAGGTGTTGAAGGCCAGTTTGGATGGGGCTTTGAGCAACCTGGTCTAGTGGGTGGCATCCCTGCCCATGGCAGGGGGGTTGGAACTGGATGATCTTTAAGGTCCCTTCCAACCCAAACCATTCTATAGTTCAAGGAGCTTCTCAAGTTGCCCTTCCAGCTATCTGTTCTTTCCTATCCAAAGCTCCTGTTCTACAAGTTTATTTCTGATTTCTTGTCTTCTGTTACTAGAGGCCCAAAGACCATGCTGGCCAGATGAATTTTCCCCATTCATGGCAAAGACTCAGGCTAAGAGGAGCCTTGATATGATGTTACATGCCTGTCCTCCTCTCCACCCTATCCTTAACACAGATTAAACCCTTTTTTTTTTTTTTCTCTAGGGGCAAAGAGCAACCTTTGGCCATAGCTGGCCTTTATGAACTGTGATTCCACCTCTCTGCCTTTTGCATATCTTTTATAAAGATTATACTTTATTAGCTGCAATAGAATCAGTGCTAATATAATGTTGGTATAAGAGGAAAATAAGCCTGACATTCTGTTTTTGTTGAACAGATTCCTTTTCACCTGTTTCACAGATAACACAGCCAGAAAATCTCAGTTCCTCTCACAATCCATATCTATAGTAAAGATAGGGGGAAAAGGGAGATGGGGTGAAAGAAAGGGAGAGGAGAGGAGAGGAGAGGAGAGGAGAGGAGAGGAGAGGAGAGGAGAGGAGAGGAGAGGAGAGGAGAGGAGAGGAGAGGAGAGGAGAGGAGAGGAGAGGAGAGGAGAGGAGAGGAGAGGAGAGGAGAGGAGAGGAGAGGAGAGGAGAGGAGAGGAGAGGAGAGGAGAGGAAAGGAAAGGAAAGGAAAGGAAAGGAAAGGAAAGGAAAGGAAAGGAAAGGAAAGGAAAGGAAAGGAAAGGAAAGGAAAGGAAAGGAAAGGAAAGGAAAGGAAAGGAAAGGAAAGGAAAGGAAAGGAGAAAGGACTTTACCTGTCATTAAAAAGTAAACAATATTCACATATCAAAACCAAACAAGGTTATTTGAAAAAACAAACTACAATTGCTAGGTATAGGATTTAGTGGTAGAAAAGAAATCTATCCAATTTGATTTTTAAGGTTTTTATACATTTCATCTGCCATAAATTTGTACTGCTGTCAGTGGGACCACTTGTTCTATATTGATTGAGAATTTACACTGGTGATTTTATATAACATATCTTCAAGGAATATCCAGAAACATATTCCCTTTCTTTTCCTAAGCTTTGCTTAGTAATCTCTGTATCAGGAAATACTATCGAACTCCTTGTTCAAGCCTTGTAAAATCCTTTTTCTCTTGCAAGCCTCTCACAGGCCAAACTGCAATCTTCTGCTTCCTTATAGAATTGTCTTTAGTGAGGAGTTGGCCTAAGGCTCATCCTTATGCCAGTTCACAGGTATGGATCCAATATCAGATATGCTTCTCAGAATTAACTTTTATTATGATTATTAGAATTCTATTTGATAATAATAAGGGCCTTTTTCTTGGTCTGTCAATACGTGACTATGTTCAAATAATCTCTCTCAGCCCTGAGGTTAAAGATTCTTCTCTGTGTGTGAGTCTATCTATTTTACTAAGTTTGCAGGCTGAAATTTTGCTGAATTACAACTGCTGCTTTATTCTGCTGATGAATGGGAAAACAAAACATCCCAAAACAAAACAGAACAATTTATTATTATTATTATTATTATTATTATTATTGTTATTGTTATTGTTATTTATTATTATTATTTATTATTATTTATTATTCTTATTTTTATTCTTATTCTTATTATTATATATTTTTTCATAGTAAACCTGTACCTGAAATCCATACCAGAGAAGCCTTGGAATATATATGGATCAAATCTGTATGAACTGTGAAACTCATCATGGTTTTAGATTTGTCTGAGCTGGGAGGATATGAACACTGCTATAGATACATTGAGTTTGCAATAGATAGCAGTAGACTTGCTTTGATTTTAAGAATCTGTGTGGGCTGGTGTGTGATGACACGTCTTTTTTCCTTTTCATGTATTTCATACAGCACTACAGGGGTTCTTTTCCAGGTATACTGACTTTCTGAAGAGCAGTAGATGGAAGAAACCATGCAGAGTAGAAGCTCACTGGCTCTGCATATGACAGAGACTCCTGTTGAGCTCCTGAAGGTGAAGCAGAGCCCTTTGATTTGTCAGACCATGCCTCCCATATTCCAGACTATAGAGTTCCCCCAGGGAAATACAGAAACTCAGTTTCTGATTGGAAAGGCAAAGGTAAGCTGAAATCTCTACAGGTAAAACATGATCCATAGGGTCATACAAGCATATACATATAGCAAATTCAGAGGAGGCAGAAATAGTTCAGTGATTCAGGAAGAGTTAAAGAATCATAGAATAGTTTGGGTTGGAAGGGACCTTAAAGATCAGCTAGTTCCAATCCCCCTGCCATGGGTAGGGACACCTTCCACTAGACCAAGTTGCTCAAAGCTCCAACCAGCCTGGCCTTGAACACCTCCAGGAATGGGGCATCCACAGCTTCTCTGGGCTACTTGTTCCAGTGCTTCACCACCCCCTGTGTAAACAACTTCTTCCATGTATCTGACCTAAATCTCCCCTCTTTTAAGTTAAAGCCATTCCCCCTTGTTCTATCACTACACACCCTGATAAAGAGTCCTTCCTCAGCTTTTCTGTAGGTCATCTTTAGCTATTGGAAGGCCACCAGGAGGTACCCCAGAGCATTCTCTTCTCCAGGCTGAACAACCCCAACTCTCTCAGCCTTTCTTTGTAGGAGAGGTGCTCCAGCCCCCTGAGCATCCTTGTGGCCCTCCTCTGGACCCACTGTAACAGGTCTGTGTCCTTCTTGTGTTGGGGGACAAAGAGCTGAACACAGCACACCAGGTGGGGTCTCATGAGAGCAGAGTAGAGGGGGAGAATCACCTCCCTTGCCCTGCTGGCCATGTTGCTTTTGATGCAGCCCAGGATATGGTTGGCTTTCTGGGATGCAAGTGCACATTGCCAGCTCATGTTGAGCTTCATGTTGAACCAACACCCTGAAGTCCTTCTCTGCAGGCCTGCTCTCAATCCATTCTGCCCCTCAGCTTGTATCTGTGCTTGGGATTGCCTTGACCCAGGTGGGGTTGTTGAACTTCATGAGGTTCACGTAGGCCCACCTCTCAAGCCTGTCCAGGTCCCTCTGGATGGCATCCCTTCCCTCTGTTATGTTGACACATACTAGATGACACAGCTTGGTGTCATCAGCAAACTTGCTGAGGGTGCACTCAATCCCACTGTCCATGTCACCAACAAAGATGTTAAACAGTGCTGGTCCCAACACTGACATTTGAGGAACACCACTCATCCATGATCTCCACTTGGACACTGAGCTGTTGACCACATCTCTTTGAGTGTGACCATCCAGCCAATTCCTTACCCACCCAGTGGTCTGTCTGTTAAATTCATGTCTCTCCAATTTACAGATAAGAATATCATCGGGGACAGTGTCAAATGCTTTGCACAAGTTCAGGTAGATGATGTCAGTTGCTCTTCCCCTATTCAATAATGCTATAATCCAGTCATAGAAGGCCACCAGATTTGTCAGGCACAGTCTGCCCTTAGTGAATTCATGCTGGCTGTCACCAATCACTCCCTTATTTTCCATGTTGCCTTAGCATAGTTTCCAGGAGGATCTGCTCCATGATCTTGCTGGGCACGGAGGTGCAACTGACTGGCCTGTAGTTCCTTGGGTCTTGTTACTTGTAGAATAAAAACTTTGTGGTTATTTTTGGGAACCTTCTAGTTCCCATGATATAATGCTGCATCTGTGTGACTGAAACATTACTGTAAGCAGGGCTCACTTGCTGAGTTGGTTTTGCACCAGGTTGGGTCACATTCAAAGATGAATTGTTTCATGTCTAGTCAGCTCTGGTTCCATGCTTCCTTTTGCTTACAGATCCAGAGCTACCAAGGGCAGAGAAAGCTCTAGCCTGCTTTCAGCTGCCAGCAGAGATACAGCAGCATAACTATATGTGACAATTGTGCAATCTCCCAAATGGCTTGTTTTGGGGACACAAAGAAGCCAAGCTGAAAAGCTTTTACCAATACAAAGCAAAAGGAAATGCTCCAGCAGAAATTCTTGTCCTTCATTTCCTAATGTCATGTAACCTCAGTGCCATTCTGGACTTGACTACTGAACTTCAGTTCAGCTAATGCCTGGTAATGAACGTTGTCAAGGGCTAAAGAGAGCAGGCAGCATGAAGGAGAACACAATTTCCATTTTTATTGTGATGCTTAAAACTAGAACATAGATTGGCAGGGATAAAAAGTGGTTTCAGACTGGTACAATATTGCCTTGTCACTACATTTTGCATGGGAAGAATGTTAGAGATGCTAGGAAAGGGCAGCATGGAAGGAAGGTTACTCGAGAAAGACCGTGTGCTTCCCTCCTCTAGACGAATTTATTCTTTCCATCTCCAAAAGACCTTTCTTTTGTGCTTAATTTTTATTTTAATTTTGCTTAATTTTACCAGTGTATCATGAGTTGTTCCCAGAATGCTCAGAGAAGAATAACCAATTTACTGACAGAGAGAAAAGCAGTTAACCCTAGAGGGAGAAAGCAGATTATTCTGTCCAAGCTCTAGGGCATGAAATGGAGTAGCTGGATCAGTCTCCAAAGAAGTGATTGTGAACTCGAGCTTCATCATCCCACCCCACATCTTTATGCCCATTGTTGTCTGTGTTTTTAAATGTGTTTTTCAGTGTAAATCACTGACTTGTGGCACTGTACTCCCCAGTTTCTGCTCTGTTGTTTTCTATACACTGAATTTACAGCCGAGATTTGATTTTCATGTAACTTGATATCTTTTGGATAAGGACTATAAATGTCTGAACCTCCCCACTTCTCTGTTTCTGCAAAACTAACCTTGACTTATCCAGTGTACAACTGATTCTGAAGCATCAGGCCTTGACAGCTCTTCATTGATGGGATGAGGAGTTGAGTTTATGGTGCCTGGCTTTGTTGGTTATTTTTCTGCCTTCAGTGATCTGTGTTACAGGCTTTAACAGTTTGCATAAGCACATTTCTTGCCCCTGTCTCAGTTTTCCAAAATAGAACTTTAAAAGTAAAGATCATTGAAGAAATAAATATGGGTTGACAACCAGACCGTAAGTCATAACAACATGCTTAAGACAGGTGGCATTGTTTACACTGCTCTTATCCCTTCCACTTTACTGGGTCATTTATGTGAGACATATGTTAATAGCCCTCTACCATCAGGAGTATTTCCAGCACTGAAAACAGAAATAGCACACCCACAGCTATGCTCTAGAGGTCTGGGTCTTTCACCAGACCCTTCTAACTATCAAAACTCTGTGTCCAAAGGGTAAAGGAAAAACTGACTGTCTGTTATGGTCATACCAGGAATACTTGCCAGAACAGTGTCTCTGTTTACATTAGGGTAGGCCTAGGAAAGGATGCAGCACTATGGTTTTAACACTCAGTCCATTTCATCAATTTTGGAGGTAAGTGAAATGCTAGAATGAATGGAGACAAACAGGGTCCATTTGCACCACTTTTTGCAGGACCATGCAGAGATATTGCAGTAGGGACAGAAAGGAGGAGCTACCTGTGTTAGGTATTTTCACCAGAGCTATTTCATTTGGTATTGCTCTGAAGTGTCTCTGCATTGTCTCCAGAAAGAGATAGCTCACTAATGGCCTGCAGAGCACAGAATTGCTTTTGGTACTTGCAGGAAAGTCAAAGGTGGAGGATTGACCCCTAAGAAGGCCTGAAGACAGGTGTATGTCATGTAGTAACATAATACAACTGATGAGAACTGTCACATCCCAACAGCATAGCACAGGGTAACGAAGAATGAGAGGCCTGGGACTCAAAAGCAATTCTCCTATTTAATTGCGATGCCACTTCCAGACTAATAAATGCCATTTTTCAACCACGTCCCTATTTCAAATGAGGCAAAACAAGCAGCAACTGCAGGCTCTGCATGGAAAGGGGTTGCATTAGCCTTGGAGTCCATCTCTGTAGTGATGACCTTGCTGGGAAAGGAAAGCACACCCTGCCCCTCTCAGCTCTTGCAGGCTGTATGGGTGAGCAAACCTATCTCTTGAAGTTTATGTGCTTTGCAACAAAAGTCTCTTCTGAAAGTAATTATTGAGAAGAAACAGGCCTCCGGAAGTTTTGAGTTAGCTTTAATTCCAGCATAGCTTAAAACTCTGTAAATAAAGCAATGATCATTTGCTTTCTGTCAATGTCTGCTGCTAAGACACCTCAGTTCCAAAACCTAATGTGTTAGAAGCCAGATTTGATGGCGTTTCCTTAACAAGACCAGCTCTTGCTGTGTGTGGTTGTGAGATCAGACCTGGGTCTGAAGGGTGGTTGCTGCTGAAGAGAAGAGGTGCCCACTGAGTTGCAGAGCAAGGAACTCAGCAGAGAACAGCATTGCCACTGAACAGAGATAAGAAGGCTGGGCACAGTCCAAAACTTGATATAAAATATGAGATATCCCCTTGAGCTAAAGGCTTTCAAGATAACTTTCAAACAGGAGGGAGGTTTGTTTCATACAGGAACACATAGTGGCCATAAGCATGGGTTTACAAAAGGGGAAAAGAGCTTTTCCACAGGCTATACTCCTGTACATGTATTTAGACTTAAACTACTCTTAGAAGACGGGCAATCCCTATGTTGGCAGTGACACTTGCTTTCCCTAATGATGTCTTATGCTATCTACACTTCTCTGGCAGCAATGCCTAAGTGTGGGATGAAGCAAAGCTTGGAAGAAGTGAAGGGCTTAAAAATGAGGGACTTAACATTGCATTTGAGAAGAATTTAGGATGCAACTGAGAGAAGGGGAAAATTTCATCTCTCTAGGAGTTTTATCAGTTCAGATGCCACATCCTCTGGCAATAGCTACCTCAGCCACAGGAAGGGTAAAAGAAATGGTAGGCAGCATATTGACAGTATAAACTGTGAGTTAGGTGCTATGATGTCAGGCATATTTACATCTGCTGGACAAAAATGACTTCACAAAAAGCAGTCTCTTTGCACAAGTGTCTCAAATGCATCTTGGTGAAAAATATACACTAAAAAAACAGCTATCACAGCTTCCCTCAAGCTTTTCTGAAATCTAAACACTCAACAACAGACAGGGTCAAGTCATTTCTTTACAGTGTTAGCATACTTCGGATCAGAAGTATTTTTTTTTTCTGTTCTGAGCCATCCCCAACACATTGCTATCCACACAAACTGTATTAG